TGAATTTCCACTGAAGTTGAGCAAACTGTAATAAATTTGTAACGGGAAAACTTTGTCGAACAAGCTCGAGTTTGTATTCAAATGTATCGAAGTATCGATTTTATGAATTGTATACTAATCATAGGGTGCGATTTTGTATTGTTGCATTTAATCTACATATATTTGAAGGAGAGAAGTAGCATATCTATATACATTAAATTCAAGCTGATCTCCCACCACATGGTAGATTGTATATTAACACTAGAACGCCGAAGGCGGTCATTTTGACCGCTTTCCAATTTCAAGTACAAAAACATTGGTTCTAGACCCAGGGGATGAAATGATGTTTTTATGACCGCTCTAGAATTGTGACCCGAACATCACCGAAATCGGTCAATATTTAGAGGTTCAAATGGACCACACTTTTATGTGAAAAATGGCAAAAAATGCACTCTATGGTGCATATAGTAACTACTGAAGAACATAGATTAAAAAAATTGATAGTATATTCAAGAGAAGCTGTTGACCCTTAAATTTATACCAATTATAGTGATGTGTCTTCTCGGATGTGGGATTTATACCTACATACAGGGTTGCCCATATTCGACGGATCCAACTGGTAACGCCATAACTTTTGACAGAGATGTCACATCGCTTAATGACATGCCGCGTTAGAAGCGTCAATCCAAGCAGATTTTTACCATGAACCAAAACACGCCACGCGATCGCTTGGAAATAGTTGAAATTTACATTCAACAGAAGAAGTCAATTGTGAAAACTCAACGTTCCCGTACAAAATTCAATTAACGCAAAGAATGTTGCCTGCGGACAAGCCTCGTCGATTGGAATGGGCCCAAAGAGTCATCGAAATGGCCGAAGATGACGAGCAATTTTGGAACAAAATTATCATGCCCGATGAAGCCCATTTCACATTGAATGGTTACGGTCCCATTCAATAAGCAAAATTCCCGTTTTTACGCCACTGAAAATCCTCAGGAGATTCAAGAAGTGCCTCTTCATGACGAAAAAGTCACTGTTTGGTGCGGCGTTAGTGCGAAAACGGTCATTTGGCCGTTTTTCTTCCAAACTGAAAATGGCCATGCTGTTATGGTCAGGAGCGTTATTGCGACATGATGACCAATTTTGTGATGCCAATTATTCGACGAAAGCGTATGAGGCAGTTCTGGTTTCAACAAGACGGCGCTCCACCGCACACAAGTCGCATAACAATCGATTTTCTGAAGAATTTGTTTCCGGCCCGTTTGATGTCGAAAAGTGGTGATTTGGACTGGCCACCGCGTTCGCCGGATTTGACGCCGCCTAACTTCTTCTTGTGGGGATATTTGAAGTCAAAAGTTTACGTTAACAAGCCAAGGACCGTAGAAGAGCTCAAGGACAACATTCGTGAAGAAATAGCCGCTATTCCGGCCGAAATGTTGGCAAAAACGATGGAAAATGCAGCAAAAAGGGCTCAATATGTCATCAACGCCAGAGGCGGACATTTGAGAGATATCATATTCAAAAATTGATGTAAACAAATCTACTTGGAACAAATTAAATGATTAACATTGCCAACCGCCAAATTTTTATTTTTTTCTTTGTTAAAAAAAAAATAAATAAAACATGGGTCCGTCGAATATGGGCAACCCTGTATTTACAGGCGTCTAACGCCATGTAATTTCACGTTAAGTTCCGGTTGGGTTCTGTCTAGAGGACATAATTATGTCCTCAGACAGAACAGAGGACATAATTATGTCCTCTAGACAGAACCCAACCGGAACTTAACGTGAAATTACATGGCGTTAGACGCCTGTAAATACAGGGTTGCCCATATTCGACGGACCCATGTTTTATTTATTTTTTTTTTTTTAACAAAGAAAAAAATAAAAATTTGGCGGTTGGCAATGTTAATCATTTAATTTGTTCCAAGTAGATTTGTTTACATCAATTTTTGAATATGATATCTCTCAAATGTCCGCCTCTGGCGTTGATGACATATTGAGCGAACATTACGAATTTAACACGGGGAATGGATCTGTGGTATTATTGAGAATGGGTTCAATAAATATTTAGGGGTTCAAATGAGTCAAGGTATTTATGATTTAAATGATAATATTATTATTTAAATGTTCAGGGTAAGAGAGAGTGGCTGTTGACCTCTAATCTACCAAGAGGGTGCAAATATCGCAGAAAGTTTGAGTTCCGTGGCAATTGTGTAGGGTATCATATGGTCGGCCCCGTCCAACTATACTGCTCCGCACACAATACATATACGACCGGCTGAAAATGTTTGTAGCCGGTAGTTTTTCTACCATCATATCCCTCCATAGTGCGGACTATGGGGTGTACGTGCTACTCTCGTTATGAGGAGGTGGCCCCCTCGGTCGGCAGGGGCGGGAATGAGTGGCGTGGGAACGATCGAAAAAATTAGACATTTTGAGATTTCAAAATTGTGGAAGGTATTTTTAACGTATGTAGGCCCATGATTTAGCATATTCCACGTATAAAGGGATTTTCTCCTTCGTGGTCCAAAGTGCACTCTTCGAAAATTGACAATGCAAAGTTATCACGTCTCATCCGCCGTTTTGACAGTACTTGACCTCAGCTGCTTTCACTTTCTCCACTTTCCAAAACTTAAGACACGGATGAAATGCAAGCGTTTTGCTACAATCGTACCTCATTAGCCTTAAGGCTGAGGAAATTTAAGTCTCGTCTTGGTACATACTCATTAACAGCTAACAGCTAATTAACAGCTATTGCTGCTGCAGATCAAAGTGTTGAAAATACCTGGTTTGTTCCATTCTCGTCGTTGTTGTTAAGGCTTATAGAGATCACAACAACCGAGATTAAGATGGCAAGGTGTACATCAACTACCGATGGTTTAAAAATCTTCGTATAAACCTATTAATATAGTCATAGCTTGAATCCACTACATCATTCTATGTATTTTGAAGGTTCTCTCCACCTAAAATACCTCTAAGTAGAAATTTTGGAATATAGGCCTAATCGATTTTGGGCGCATTCAAAATTGCTATAAATTGGCATTCCGACTTCTTGGTGTGTAAAAAAACTAATGATTTGACACAGACCTATGAGGTTCCCTTTCGACAAAAAATGTTCAATATTGGTCCATGGTATATGGTTCTATTCTAATATTCCAAGCGATATAGTCATTGGAATGACTTTTTTGGGCTCCAATTTGATTTTTCAGGTTCAGATGGGTTGTCAAATCTTTCTAGTAAAGGCTGACGTGCATATATACTGAACATTATAAATATAGAACTAAGATTCGATATATCCCCCATTGTGGGGCTGTAATTAGGTATTCCGGCATATTGGAGCATAAATCACATTTAGCGATAAATTGCTGATATAGCAAAAAATTGAGAAAGGTCGACATAATGCTGCATAGAGTTTCTTCTGTATGCAGGCAGGATAAGTTCGAGGGTAGACTATATCGGTCCATATAGGCTTATCTTTCTATTTTCGGTATTTTTGGGTTCTTGGGCGCGTTTTTAAGCGAATTCGCTAAAATTTTTGTACAATATGTTCATATTGGGTACCAAATTCCTCCACAAAAAAATATATTTTTCGTAGATTTGGTATATTTTAGTCGTATATGATACCAAATTTTCCACCCAAATCTCCCGCGAAATATTGATCCTAGATCTTTAAGTATATTAATCGTCTCATCTCGACTAGCTGAGTTGATCTAGACATCCTTCCGTCTGTCCATGTTGATCAAACGGCACGAAATTTTGTGTGTTGGATGGGTTCTGGCCCAAAAAGATAACTATTGTTTATGGTAATGATCCGTTAATATTAAAGGATAAAATCGACCAAACATCATACGAAATTTTGCACAACGTACTGAAGTTAGAATAGACTAACGTGTGCCAAGTTTTATTGAAATCGGTTCAGATTTAGATATAGCTCCCATATATATGTTCGTCCGATTTTTCGCAAATGGTGCACCAAAGATTTAAAGTGTGTCCGATAGACACAAAATTACGCGCAACGTATCGAAATGGGTGTGGGTTAACCGTTATATGGGAGCTACCCGAAAAGCGGACCTGCAGACAAGAGACAACTTTATGCAAAATGTTGGCGATCATGCTCAATTCGTTTAGACGCTAGATTGATTGCAACAGAAAGACGGACCTGCATAAATTGTCATAGAATTTTACGCTGATCAAGAATATATACTTGATACAAATATATCCGTTTTTTGATCGTTGGGTTAAGTCGGTTCACATATAGACACAGATCACATATTTAACTTACTCGAATTTCATGTCAATGGTCCTTCAAAAAAATTCACAGACCTTGAAGGATGTATTTCTTGAAAAAGGCCAAAGTGGTAAAGGGTATCCGACCGACTTTACTACTTTCCTTACTGGTTTTATTTCAAGTACTGGTGGTGGAGGGTATCCAGAGTTCGGCCCGACGCCTTTGCCCTGGGTTCACATAATATTAATTCAAAATTTAATAAGAAAATAGATGAACAACACAATTTGATACTTAAAGAGAGGTGGATTTTTCATCAATACTTTAATAATTTATATGTCCAGCTGAAGATTTTTTTTGTAGTATCTGCATCTAAAAGTTTTTTTTTTTTTTTTTTTTTTTGAATTTTATTCATTCTCCATGTTCCTCTATATATATATATATATATATATTTTTTTTATTTTCATCATGTCCAATATTGAGTTATGCCTTAAGTTAATTAAAACTTTGTTTGCCTCTGTCCCCTTGACATTGCATAGTAACCCAAGAATATTAATTAATTAAAGAACATTTTTCCCCTTGGCAACTGCGATGAATGCAATCGTTAGAGGCAGAAGATGAAGACCAAGTTGTCGAAGACCAGTATACTTTTGTTTTCTTTTATCCATTATGCAAATAATGTCCACAATTCACATAAAAGAAAGTGATTAACAATTGCCTTTAAATTTTCTTCCTTATATGCGGTAATTTTTATAATCCCTTAACATTCTCCTTTTTGTTTTATTTAATTTTAGGTATGGCCATTTGTGATATGTTAACGGTTATATTTCCGGCTCCCGGTCTATGGTATATGTACTCGTTTGGTAATCACTATAAACCCCTGCATCCGGTTTCACTTTGTTGGGCCTTCAACCTATTCAATGAGGTAAGTTTTTGCTTCTTCTTTGCTTCTTTGGCCTGTATGTTGTTTTGCGATTTTTCTTTTTTTGGTTATTGTGTTCAACATAATGGAAAACTTTCAGACTTTCGGCTTTGTAAAAGTAGTTTAATAATAATATTTAGTTGTTGTTCGTTCGTTCGTTCTGTTTTAAGAGGTTGAAATTATTTTGTGCATAAAATGAAGAATTTTTAAAATAATAATTATTAGGTCCAAACAAAAAATCTCTTTGGTGATTCCCTGTAGCTGAGAGAAGGACGTGCTGTTTATTTCGTTGTCAGGTGGAGATACTCATTTACATTGTTGATGTTTCTCGTCTTATCATTTCGTTGCTAGATAATCAACATTATTTTAAATATAACTTACACTTCAATGCCAAATTTAATTGTGTTAGTTAAATTAACATATTTCTGTTTTCACATCTACTTGCCGTGAAATTAGTCAATTCTAAGAAAAATGATTTGAATATGAATGAAGAGAGATATTTATAATGTTTGTAATAATTGACTGCTCTAGTGCGTATTATTGCTGATGTCAATCATACGCATGGGTGTACATTAAATTGCCCAAGCAGTAAAATTTTGCAATAAACTAATTTCAAAATCGTCAAAAAATTTTCATAAGAAAATGTAAATGATTATGGACATTCTGTTTATATAAAAACCAGTAAGGAAAGTAGTAACGTCGGACTGGGCCGATTATATGATATCCTTCACTACTTTGGGGATATTCTACATATGTATCTTTACAGATGTCGTCTTTTTGAAGGAACATCGATTTAATACTTTTTAACTAGACTTTAAGCTAACTTTACGCACGCTATTTGGTATGCTTCACTGTTTAAAATGTAATATCAATCAAGCACCCATTGATTATTTGGTTTACAATCAACATGAATTTATACTAATTTCAGTATATAGTATATTTCATTAATACTAATTTCAGTAAGCCGATTGGCAAGGCCTAGCTATAGGTCTTTAGTACACAATTTACTTAAAATTGACGAAAGTCAATTGAAGGAGCAATATGCAAATCTGAACCAATTTGAAGAAAACTTGACACACACAAGGTTATAGTAAATTCAGTACATTGTACAAAATGTACATAAAATCGGACGAAAATATATATTGGAGCTATATCTAAATCTGAACCGATTTTCTCGAAACTTGGCACATATCATTCTGGACCTAATTCAGTACTCTGTGACAAATTTCATGCAAATCGAAAGATATACAGGGACTTTCGTGCCCCATTTACCTTAAATCGGAAGAAAATATATATGGGAGTTATATCTAAACCTGAACCGATTTTCCCGAAACTTACCACACATCATTGTGGACCTAATTCAGAACACTATGCTAAATTTTATGCAAATCGAAAGATATAGAGGGACTTCGGTGCCCCATTTACCTTAAATCGGACGAAACTATATATGGGAGCTATATCTAAATCTGAACCGATTTTCTCAAAACTTGGCGCATATCATTCTGGGCCTAATTCAGTACCCTGCGCCAAATTTCATGCAAATTGAATGATATATAGGGACATTGGTGCACCATATACCTTAAATCGGACGAAACTATATATGGGAGCTATATCTAAATCTGAGCCGATTTTCTCGAAACATGGCACACATCATTGTGGACCTAATTCAGTACTCTGTGCCAAATTTCATGCAAATCGCAAGATATAGAGGGACTTTGGTGCCTCATTTACCTTAAATCCGACGAAAATATATATGGGAGCTATATCTAAATCTGAACCGATTTTCTCGAAACTTGGCACATATCATTCTGGGCCTAATTCAGTACTCTGTGCTAAATTTCACGCAAATCGGAAGATATAGAGGGACTTTGGTGCCCAATTTACCTTAAATCGGACGAAAATATATATGGGAGCTATATCTAAATCTGAACCGATTTTTCCCAATTTCAATAGAGTTCGTCCTTGGGCCAAATAAGTGAAGTGAATAAGTTTGCCAAATTTCATCCAAATCGGATTATAAATGCGATCTGTACTTTGTTTGCAATTTAACATCTATAGACGGACAGACGGACGGACATGCATAAATCGACCCAGAAAGTGATTCTATGCATATTCTCAAAAGGAACCATGTATCTATCTCGTTTCCTTTTGCCTGTTACAAACATATGCACAAAAACATAATACCCTGTACCACAGTGTGGTGAAGGGTATAACAAGAAATGTCGAATTACATCCACTTCGGAGGAAAATGCGAATACATACTTCAATGTACCAACCTTTGACCCATTGGTGAAAATATCCGAGTAAAATCTGCAAAATGTTGAAAGAGGTAAATGTTAGGTTAGGCTAAGTTGAAAAAAGAGAAGGACATACACTTAAGCCATATGAGGCCTGTTGTGCGCACTAGATGTGCGGAGAAAGTACAAATCAAGAATTAGTGGAAGAGTATATTATAAAGAAAATCATTTGGGTTTGATTCCCTATGAATCTAGGAATTCCGTGTTTTTTCGAACTCCTTCAGTCTTTTCCATTCACACCCCCTCAAATCGCTTAGTCCGTGAAGAGAGGATTTTTTACCAAAAACCTATTTAAAAAAGTAAGGAAGATCTTCACCGATTGGCTTTATCCTAGTTCATACGAGAGCTATACACTCCCAGAGAAACGTTGCAAAATTTGGAACCGATTGGGTTATTAGTTTTTGAGTTATCGTGCCCGCCATTCGCAAAAAAATGTTTAGAGAAAAACGCGTTTAAAGTTTGAGAAGCCCTTCAGCCGTCACTTGATGCTGACACAATAAATCGGCTATATCTTCAAGAGTTCTTGAGATTTTCACTTGAAATTTTGTAGAGACATTCTTTAATCAGTGTAGATTCGAATTATATCAACAAAAATTTTGACCCCGAGAATGGGTGGGGTCCCCTTAAATGATAAGAAAATTTATTGGCATACTTTTGTTGTTGTTTTATAGTTGTTCTTTGTATCTAAAGAAAGTCATTCTTTTCAACGGCGGGCATGATTTCCGACCATTGGAACGTCCGAATTAAAAAAATTTTAATGGCAATCGGAAGAGTACGTGTCTGACTCTAGTATGAACTATGATAAGGCTGTGCAACATATAAAACAAGTAAAAACGACGTGACGTTCGACCCGGAACCCCCATGATTGCAATTTTTAAAATATCTAACAGTTTGGCTACCTTCATATGTGGCTATAATAAAACGGAGATCAATATTGATATTTTGTCGTAGAGAGATTTGATAACCATTGAGAATACAAAATACCAAATTTGTATTGTGGAGATGTAACGATAACGTTATGAGAATCCAAAATATCAAATTACAGTCAATTTGATTGAACAACTTGTAACAATCCCCGGTCTGCACTACATTAGGTTCCTCCATACCTACCATGTACTCCACAAAGCCTTATTATAAAGACGCCATTCAGCTCGTATATAAAGGCTCCCTTTATCTCCTCTAAAAATCCTCAATACAGCTCGTATACAAATACACCCTACTGTTCGTGTATAAAAATCGGACGAACCTTTATATGGGAGCTATATCTAAATTTGAAACGATTTCAACAAAACTTGACATACACCAATCTAGACCTAATTCAGTACTATGTGCAAAATTTTGTCTCAATCGGACCAATATTGGGAGTTTGGTGCACCATTCACCAAAAATCGGACGAAACTACATATGGGAGCTATATCTAAATCTGTACCGATTTTAACAAAACTTCGCAGACACAAGTCTGGACCTAATTCAGTACTCTGTGTAAATATTTTTCCAATCGGAAAAATATTACGAGTTTCGTGCGTCATTCACATAAAATCGGACGTAACTCTATATGGGAGCTATATCTAAATCTGAACCGATTCCAACAAAACTTCGCATACATAAGTACGGACTTGATTGAGTACGCTGTGCGAAATATTGTCCCAATTGGACAAATATTGGGAGTTTGATGCATCATTTATTTAAAATCGGACGATACTATATATGGGAGCCTTATCTAAATCTGAACCGATTTTCCCCAATTTCAATAGGGTTCGTCCTTGGGCCAAATATGTGACATATGCCAAATTTCATTCAAATCGGATAAGAAATGCGACCTGTACATTGCTCACAATAATACATGGACGGACGGACAAACTGGCATGCATAAATCGACTCAGAAAGTGATGCTATGCATATTCTCAAAAGGAACCATGGGTCTATCTCGATTCCTTTTGCCTGTTACAAACATATGCACAAAGACATAATACCCTGTACCATAGTGTGGTGAAGGGTATAAAAATGTTCGTTTAGCTCTCCTATAAAGACTCCCTTCAGCTCGTTTATAAAGACTCCCTGCTTCAGCTCGTCTATAAAGACGCCCTTCAACTCGTCTATAAAGATGCCCTTCAGCTCCTCTGTAAACACTACACCCAACTCTTCTATTAAGATTCGTCTATAATCACATCTTCCTATATAGCCTCCCTACTTCAGCTCATTGTTTACGTTATTTGTTTATTAAATTTGTTACATAATATCTGTTACTCACTGATTATAAAAAACCCATTTGAAGTTCATAACCTAATTCTATAAGCGCCCTAATGATGGTCTTTAAGGACAAAAAAAAACAACAAAAATTGTCAATAACAAGCTTTAATATTGCATCATTAATTTCTCATAATGATTCCTAAATATGAAATATGTATGTATGTTTACACGACTGGAAGCTGTTCTGCTTACATAAACTAGCGTGTCTGCACGTATACATATATATGTGTGTGTGTGCGTATACATGCGATATAAGATCTCTTATAGTTTTCAGTGTTACGTTGCACTAACAACCAAGGACGAGTATTTATGGATTTAAGCGAAATATCAAAACAACATCATTACCAAACACATAAACACATACTACATATCCATATGCCACAGCTATATGATGTAGCTACACCTACACAAACATGCACACGCATCCAATATTTTTTCGTCGTTTACAATGAAATC